TTTTGGAGGGAAGTTATATTTCTCTTTTATATAATACAAAATAAACATAAGACAAATAGAAATATTAAATGTAAGAACAATACCATAAGGAAAAGATAGGTGAATATTTATGTGTTCTTGAGGAAGGGTTTGTGAGTGTGACGTCAGAGAAAACAAGTTTAAGAAGTCTGACTACTGATAGCTTGCTCATTTGCAAAAGAAAGACGTAGATGCCAGCTAGAAAAAAAAATGCCAGTAGCATAGGCCAAAGAATATATATATATTTTTTGAGATGGAGTTTCCCTTTTGTTGCCCAAGCTGGAGGGCAATGGTGTGACTGCAACTTCCGCCTCCTGGGTTCAAACGATTCTCCTGCCTCCGCCTCCCATGTAGCTGAGATTACAGGCACCTGCCACTGGCTAATTTTTTTTGCATTTTTAGTAGAGATGGGGTTTCACCACATTAGCTAGACTGATCTCAAACCCCTGACCTCAGGTGAACCGCCTGCCTCTGCCTTTCAAAGTGCTGAGATTATGGGTGTGAGCCACCGTGCCCAGCCAAGAATATATTCTTAAGGTATAACAAGAGGGAATTACTTATAAGAGGGAATGCCATGCAGAGAAAAAAATGGGCACAAACGAAGACAAATGGATGAAACAGCTCGCTACCACAAATCAGAGAAGTGTGAATAAAACCAAAAGATTGAAAACACTTATTCAAAATATTGTTAATGATTTGGGACTATTACAATACAATTACACCAGCAGCGTGATTGAATGTTGCATCTAAACTCTAAAGTAGTTTTAAAGAAAAGCCAGGTTGGGGCTGGGCGCAGTGGCTCAAGCCTGTAATCCCAGCACTTTGGGAGGCTGAGGTGGGTGGATCATGAGGTCAAGAGATCACCTGGTCAACATAGTGAAACCCTGTCACTACTAAAAATACAAAAAATTAGCTGGGCATGGTGGCGCGCGCCTGTAATCCCAGCTACTCGGGAGGCTGAGGCAGGTGAATTGCCTGAACCCAGGAGACGGAGGTTGCGGTGAGCCAAGATCGCGCCATTGCACTCCAGCCTGGGTACCAAGAGTGAAACTCCATCTCAAAAAAAAAAAAAAAAAGGAAAAAAGAAATGCCAGGTTGGGCATGATGGCTCATGCCTGTGATCTCAGCACTTCGAGAGGCTGAGGTCGGAGGACTGCTTGAGTCCAGGAGTTCAAGACCAGCCTGGGCAATATAGTGAGACCTCCTCTCTACAAATATAAATAAATAAATAAAATGAGACCTTTCCATCTCATAATGTGTGCAATCTAAAGAGGTGTTAGACATGAATGCAAAGATAAAACTTACTCATAATCAGTGATTTCATACAAATAAGCATTGCTTAAGTTTATTTGTTCTCAAAATTAAGAACCCTGAGAGACAGTTGATTTATTAAATCGTCTTCTCCTAGGTGCTAGAAACTTCAGCCTAGCTTTTTAAAAGAATCACAACAACAACCAATTTCAAAGTAGGTGGATCGGTTGCTGCCATATTTGAAAACTTCCAATGAGCTGTGTTCAGTTGAGGCTGGGTGTTGCAGGAAAAGGTGTTTATGTGAGCATGCGAGCACGCTGCTGCAGAACTGAACCTGCAGGCCAGGCTGTGGGAGTTGGTTTATGACGGCAAATTCATCACTACACTTGTAGAAACGATTGTGTGTGCACATATGTGCATCCTTTGTGTGTGCGCGCGCGTGTGTATCTGTGCTCCCCTGTGTCTTGGGCAAAAGAGGATCAGAGAATATGTACATCCGTGTGTGTGTGTGTGTGTGTGTGTGTGTATATGTCTGTATGTCTGTGCGCCTGTGCATGCCTGTGTCTTGGGGGAAAGAGGATTGGAGAATATGTACATCCCTGTGTGTGTGTGTGTGTGTATGTGCGCGCGCGCGCGCGCCTGTGAAGAATATGTACATCCCTGTGTGTGTGTGTGTGTGTGTGTGCGTGTGCACGCCTGTGTCTTGTGGGAAAGAGGATTGGAGAATATGTACATTCGTGTGTGTGTGTGTGTGTGTGTGTGTGTGTGCACGCCTGTGTCTTGGGGGAAAGAGGATTGGAAAGTGAAGACATCAGTACATGATTTGAATTTCAAGAGGAAGGGGAAGAGAACCTCAGATCCTGGCTGGAAACTCTGCCTAGTAGGAACTCTTCACCCAGGGAAGCCTTCAGCCAAGATAATAAGAGGAACAATTGGGGATCTCTTGTTAAAGTTCAGCTTTCCCATGGAGCAGAAAGAATGCCAGGGCAGTGAGACAAAAGACATGCATCTTAATCCCGACTGTCATTCATAAAATGTCTTTTGTCCGTTCAGAGCGATTTTAGTACTTGGCTCTGAGGACCAAGGGTAGAAAAGAACAAGAAGGAATTTTTATCAAGTTACACTTTCAATGAACTGAGCTGTCTATGAAAGAATTAAAACTAACTTCATTGAGCACTTGATTTTTTTTTCCTTTTTTCTTTTTTTTCACTTGATTTTTTTTTTTTATAAACAAGGATTGTTTTAAGTTAGATACGCCAAATAAGTAAGTGATTTTACTGAGCAGCTCCAGAAAACATTTTTAAAATTGATAATTTGTTAACTAAGTTCAAACCAGGGGAGGAAGAAAATAAAATGGGAGGTTTAATAAGTTTTTATTTATTTTTTATTTTATTTTTGATATGGAGTCTCACTCTGTTACCCAGGCTGGAGTACAGTGGCTCAGTCTCAGCTCAGTGCCACCTCCACCTCCTGGGTTCAAGCAATTCTCCTTCCTCAGCCTCCTAAGCAGCTGAGACTACAGGTTTGGGCCAGCACCATGCCTGGCTTTTTTTTTTTTTTTTTGGTAGAGATGGGGTTTCACCATGTTGGCCAGGTTGGTCTTGAACTCCTGACCTCAGGTGATCCCCTTACCTAGGCCTCCCAAAGTGCTAGGATTACAGACATGAGCCACCACGCCCGGCCAGTGAATTTTAAATAGGGACTACTTGTCTGGCAAAGGGATGTTTCCCATTGAGCTCAATAAATACGTTAAATGTTTGCCTACACTGCAACTCATGCATTCTTGTGGGAGCCAATCACCAACCCTCACTTCCACCCCTACTCCAGCAAAAGGCCGCAAGGAGAGGCAAACCATTTGCATGCACGGAGGTATTCAGTTATTGCTAACTGGTAAACCCCCTTCCACACCCCCAGATAAAAAGTAAATGTTTAGGTAGGCATCCAGAGCCATCTCTACTAGATCAGAACTCTAGAATCAAAGAGCAGGCTCACAGAACAAGTGAACTTACTTCAGAGGCTTCCTCACTCGAGGCATCAAAGATGCTATAATCAAATATTCACTAGCTGTGCCTCTGGTTGGGCCGTCTAAGCAGTGGGGAGAATAAGGTATCTCAAGACAAGGAATGGATTGCTAGTGTGAGTGCTGCCTAGAGACAAACAACATCTGCTCTTTAATTACAGAAAGAAGTCTCTGAGCATCTCCCTCCCCTCACTCCTGGGATGTGCTTGTTTATTTTGCAACTGTATTGAGTCACGGAATTTCCAGGACCACTGGAGTCCAGGGAAGAAGCCCGTGGTCAATGAGTCACATTTTTAATGCACGAAGAGGTTGTTCGGTGATAATTTACAGATGGTGCTTGAGCGTGACCATGAGTAGTTTGGATCATTGCAGCAGAAGCTGAAGAAGAGGACACTTGTTATCTGCTGTGTCTCATTGTAGAATTCAGCGTGGTAGTCCATTCCAATCCCCTACTTTACCAGAAACCTTTTTCATTGGTATGACACGTCATTTGTCCAAATGTTAATGCAGAAAAGCCAGGGCCAGGGGCAGTTCATTAGTTTGGCTCTTTTCCTATATTTTTTAATTTTTATTTTTTAGATTGAGTCCAGGCTGGAGTGTGGTGGTGCGATCTCAGCTCGCTGCAACCTTCACTTCTTGGGTTTAAGCAATTTTCCTGTCTCAGCCTCCTGGGTAGCTAGGATTACAGGCGGCCACCACCACACCCAGCTACTTTTTGTATTTTTAGTGGAGGCAGGGTTTCACCATGTTGGCCAGGCTGGTCTCAAACTCCTGACCTCAAATGATCCACCTACCTTGGCCTCTCAGAGTGCTGGAACTACAGGCATGAGCCCCTGCACCCAGCTAGTTGGCTTTTGGTGTATTAAGTGTTCTCTTGGTATCTTGGTATCCCTAAGCATATTACTGACGCTCCCCTGTAGACAGTAATCCCAACTATAAAGTAAGAGGTAAAACTCCATGTAATCTATGAGGTCTCTGGTCAGAGCCTGTGGTTCTAATTGTCCAAGTGAACAGCACTCTCAAAATTCCATGGAGAGAGAGTTGGATTTTAAAAAGATAGAAGTTGGATGTGGTGGTACACACCTGTATTTCCGGCTGCTTTGGAGACTGAGGCAGGAGGGTTGCTTGAGCCCAGGAGTTTGAGGTTATAGCGAGCTATGATCGTGCCACTGCACTCCAGCCTCGGCAACAGAGGAGACTCTGTCTCTTAAAAAAAATTAATTTGAAAAAGTAGGGAAAAAAATAAAAATAAAAAGATGGAGACCCCAGTTTGCATGGAGTCTGTAAAGGGGTATGTTCAGAAGTCTTTCCCATTGACTCTAATTTAAAAGTGTTGAGGTCTAGATGAATACATTAATTCATCATAGAAATGACACCAGGAAGAATCTGATTTCTTATCGAAAAGGAAAGATGTGTGTCCCCTGTTCAGGCCATCTCAGTGGGGCCCCAGGGAGCAGCTGGCTGCTCTACCTTTTGAGGTTTTCATCTTCCTTTGCTTTGTAGTGGAGGTAACCCCAGGGTATTGTATGTGTCAGAATTGCTGCAAGGAGGATGGTTTGGTTTCTGGCACTGCGGGAAGCCAGAAAAAGGACCAAAATAAAACACAAGTTTTTAAAAATAATGGAAAAGAAAATACTCCGCATGTAGCCGGCAAATTCAGTCTGCTTATGCAGTTTCTGCCTTAGGCTCTGACTCAGTCTTTCTTTTTCAGCCAGCACGGGCCAGCCAGAAGATGACATCGAGACTCCAGGTACAGAAGGCAGCATTGTGATGCCAGGTGCCGAAGATGATGTGCTGACCCCAGGAGCTGGTGAAGACCTCTCTACGGCTGGCTTGACAACTCTGGTCAGTGTCCTGAGGGGAGAGGAATTTTTTCCGTAGGCATGGGATCAAATTGCAAGGTTATGATGTATATTAATTTATAGATAAGTACGTCTATATATAAAATCAGCATTTTTACCACCATACCAAGGTATAGTTATGTGGCTCAACAAAAAAGAATAAGTCCTCACTTAATGCTGTTGATAGTTTCTTGGAAACCTGTGACTTGAAACAAAATGACTTATAAAGAAGCAACATTATTTGAGGACCTGCTGCATGTCATTTTCCTTAAAGTTGCAGTTTCTAAGAATCTATCAACAACGTTAAGTGAGGACTCACTGTCCTTCCCAATTTCGTCCACTTAGCTGGTGGATGATCACAGATGGTTTCAGAGTAGAAGCCAAGGCTTCTCAAATTGGTAAGGAGTCAGGATTTTACATTTCCAGTCTGTTACAGCCCAATTTTCAATACAATGAAAGTTTTCTTGGGTGTTGTGGCCATGTCATTGCTCTAACGGGTTCTAAATATGTCTTCTCAGTTTCTTTGCCCATTATAGACTGGCAATAAACATGGACTAGAACCAGTCCACAGATTACATGATTATAGACTATTTAGCCTCTCAACCCCAACACATTCTTAACCTGATAAATTTTAATTAACTCCTGTTACATACCTGCCCTAGACAAGACAAGATGCCAAGCATTGGGAGGGATTGAGGAGGTCAGTGAGCCACGTCCTCCACCCTTGAGGCGATCTGTGATTTCTTGCCTGCCTGTCTGAGCTGTACACCAGCATCTCCTTCCCTTTCTGTTTCTGCCACCTTGGACTTTCTGACCTTTGAACACACCAAGCTTGTTCCAACTTAGGCTTTTGTTTTCTCTGCCTAGAACGTGGCGCAGATCTTTCCATGGCTGACTTTTTCTTATAATTCTCAAGTTTGAAGCCATCTCAAACAGCCTAAAGTAATCTCACCCCCACCTCCATCAGAAGTCACCCTCTGGCCCTGAGGTCAGCGAACTACCCACCAGATTCGGCCCTCCCACTGTGTTTGTACACGAAGTTTCACTGGAGCACGCCAATGCCCATTCAGCTGAGAATTCTCCGGCTGCTTTCCAGAAGAGTGGAGTTGATTAGTTAGAACAGAGACTGTGTGGCCTGTACAGCTGAAATATTTACTCATCTGGCCCTTTACCGAAAGTTTTCCAGAGGCTAGTCCAGTCTAGTCTAGACAAAGCCCTCAAAACCGTGTCAAACTGCCTTTTGTGCTTGTTTACCTGCTAAATGTTCACATTCTGCTACCCCATCCCAGAGGCCAGCTTCAAGAGAACAGAGAATTTATATTACTCACATTATAGTCCCAGGGCTTGGAACTGTGCTGGGCTCATAGGAGGTACTCATCAGCGGTAAAAAAAATAACATAAACGTTATCATTGCAACCATTTTGAAGTGTGCCGTTCGGTAGTGTTAAGTATATTCACACCATTAAACTGATCTCCAGGACTTTTCATCCTGCAAAACTGAAACTCTACCCATGAAACAATAACTCCTCATCCTTCCCTTCCCCCGGTCCCTGGCAGCCAGCCTTCTACTTTAGAATTTGGCTCCTAGTTACCTTATGTAAGTGGAATCATATAGTACTTTTCTTTTGTGACTGGTTTATTTCACTTAGCATAATGTCCTCAAGGTTCATCCCTGCTATAACATGCGTCAGAATGCTCTTCCTTTTTAAAGCTGAATAACGTTCCATTGCATGGATAGACCGTGTTGTTTATCCATTCTTCTGTCTGCAGACAGTTGGCTTGCTTCCACTTTTTGGCTCTTGTGAATAATGCTGCTGTGAACATGTGTGTGCAACAGTCTCTTCAAGATCTAATTGTTTCTGTTCATTTTCTTGTTTCTGCTTGCAGTGTATGCCATCATGGGTTCCGTATTTTGATGACACCTTAAATCCTTTTCTTTTATAAGGCAGAGTTAATTAGACTAACTAGCTAATTGTCTTAATATTTTAAGACAATTAGGCTTTGTTTTCTATTTTTCCTCATTCACACCCACAATAGGTGGCAACGAGTGTCAAGAGTGTGACCGACATTGGCCCCGAGGATCTGCCAACTCCAGAAAGCACAGCGCACCCCGAAGAAGGAAGTCCGAGCACCACAACCTCAAACATGGCAACCAGTCACTCCAGGGGTAAGAAAACCAGTCACCTCCATGGAGGCTGATCTACTTTTGCAGAATCGGTACCTTCCAAAGTCCGTGAACAAATGTAATAATCAACAGGGGGCATGTTGGGGTGCAAGAGTGACTTCTGAACCAAGCCTTGTATGATAGGTTCATAATTGGATTTGAGTTGATGCGGTTGGTTTAGTGGGTTGCTGAACATACCTCTCTACCTGAAATGATTACTGATAACACCTGCACAGGGTGAGTTAAGCAGCTACTGATGTGGCCTGGTGGACCCCAGGCTGATAGAATGTGATATGGAGAACTTTGTGTGGACACCCAAGGGTGCAACCCTCAGCCATCGTCTGTAAATCTTAATAGATTTATAGATAGATAGAGAAGTCTTGACTTTTCCTCCATCTGCAAACTAGTAGGTAGCCATCATCCAGAGGAGTTAAGGCTCGTTATATAAAGAGGTCAAAGAGAAAAGCAAAACATTTTTATTTTTAAATAGGTCATTGCATAAAATTATCCAAAAGAAACTCACAATGACAAATATTCACACTGTAACTATTAGACTAGGTTTGACTGCAGATAGAAAACTTAAAACAACAGTGTCATGAATTCAAAGGATGTTATCTCTCATGAACCTTAGCTGGGACTGTTGTTGCCTTATAAAAATCTGGATTTTGCTACCAAAGAAGCCCCAGAAAATAGATATTGAGACTAATCACAGTCTCGGTTACCTGTTCCCAAACTAGAGTATTAATCTCAAAAATGAGTAATAGACCTCTTCACAGTCTGGAGACCTTGACATTTACTTACTTTTACATGGCAGTTGTCCAGTGAGTACTCTGTAAGAATACTTACCACCTTCCATTGAGTTCATGTCTGTTTACATGGTGCAAGCGTCTGTTCTAAACCCATCTGGCCAGGATTTGGGTTGTACTGGTGACTCACAGTTGGCAGCTGCAGCCGTGTGAGTGAAACACCTTGGAGAAAAGCTTTGGTGGAGTTTTTTGAGTCTTTGCTATTTTTCTATCTAGACCATCATTGATGAGAATGAGGAAAAATGATTGTCGATATAAGAAATAGAAAGATGTAATCCCAGCACTTTGGGAGGCCGAGGCGGTGGATCACGAGGTCAAGAGATCAAGACCATCCTGGTCAACTTGGTGAAACCCCGTCTCTACTAAAAATACAAAAACTTAGCTGGGCATGGTGGCGCGTGCCTGTAATCCCAGCTACTCAGGAGGCTGAGGCAGGAGAATTGCCTGAACCCAGGAGGCGGAGGTTGCGGTGAGCGGAGATCACGCCATTGCACTCCAGCCTGGGTAACAAGAGCGAAACTCCATCTCAAAAAAAAAAAAAAAGAAAGAAATAGAAAGAGATCACTTCCTATTTCTAGAGATGTCTTGAGAAATTCGGTTGTTTGGGGTTTTAAAAAATGCCTTATTTTATAGTGGATAAGGTGGAAGAGAAAATGAAGTAATCCTCTGAAAACCTCAATGAGTTGCTAGCTCACTGGAGAAAATTTTATGTGAATTGTTTTATCTAGATAGGTCTTACATATAAATATCATGTCTAAACCAATGGTTTCCCAAACCAGTTGCACATCTGAATACCTAGAAAGCTCTTCTTGGCCAGGCCTGGTTGCTCACGCCTATAATCCCAACACTTTGGGAGGCCAAGGCAGGAGGATTACCTAAGGTCAGGAGTTCAAGACCATCCTGACCAACATAGTGAAACCCTGTTTCTACTGAAAATACAAAAAAATTAGCTGGGTGTGGTGGTGCATGCCTCTAATCCCAGCTACTCTGGAGGCTGAGGCAGGAGAATTGCTTGAACCTGAGAGGTGGAGGTTGCGGTAAGCCAAGACCGTGCCATTGAGCTCCAGCCTGGGCAACAGAGCTCTGTCTCAAAAAAGTGGGGGTGGGGCGCTTTGAGATAAAACCTGAACCTCACTCCAAGCTGTTAAAGAAATGATTAACATTTAAATACCAGGGAAAGCCAAGTTGAGCTAAACAAAGAAAGAATAATCAATATAAGTGATCATTGGAAAACTTTTTAAAATTTTGGAGGATCGCTCACTTGTAACGTGGGTTGACAGCTAACTAGCAGCAGAAAAATGTGCCGTCCATGTTGAATATTCTATCATACTTCATACCTCTCTTCTATTCCTTTAAAAAAATTATCAGCTGCCTGTCCCCTGTCCCACCCTGTCACAAAAATTGTGACTTAGGACACATTCCTACTTAATAGCTCATTTCCCAAGACATTTTCTAATGCGAGCCAAAATGTCATTAGTAGCACTCAGTTTTCAAGGGGTAATGTTATTAGGGCAGCAGATGTTCAGTTCTGCTGTGAAACACCCAAATACGATGATGTGCCCATGTATGACGAATGCTCAGGATCACAGTCAGTGTCATTGGGAGGGGGATGGGAAATAGGAGACTAATAAGCTCTGATTTAATAACAAATCCTCCACAAACTTTCTTTTCAGTAATAACAATTTTCAACCAATGATGTCTTTGATAATGGTACATGAAGAGCCTGGAATCAGTACCCATGTGGTGGGATGTGCTCAGCAAATGATAGACTTATCTCTGCTGGCAGTTGACTTCTAGCGATGACATTTGGGGAGCTGATTCGATGCCACCTTTGTTCTGGGAAAGCCCAAACCCAGCCGTGTCCTGTATGGTGAGGTACCAGAGTCAGCATGAGCTCTTACGTGCTCTCTACCCGTGGGCTCAGCTCATCCAGGGAGAACTGGCTTCTGGGATGTGTACCCTGGGGCCATCTTGAGAGGAGGCACCTTGTGTTGAGGAGAGCCTTGGTCCAAAAGGGATGGTTTTCAAACCCAACCATTAGAAAAAGTAGGCATCTTTTACACGATGGTTGGCTAGTTTTACCATCGATTAGGAAAGCTACTGGCTACCTGGGGTGTTTTGCAAGCTGTGAACTAAGATTTTAGGGCAGGGCTCGATGGATGATTAACTTCTCCCAATTGCTTTTTAAATCAAGGCAGCTTGACGTTTCCTCCATCTGCAAACTAGTAAACAGCCACCACCCAGAGTAATTAAGGACTCATTATATAAAGAGGTCAAAGAGGAAAAGCAAAACATTTTTATTTTTAAATAGATTATTGCATAAAATTGTTCAAAAGAAACTCACAAGGATGAATATTCACACTGTAACTATTAGACTAGGTTTGATTGCAGATAGAAGTCCTAAAATAACGGCATCGTGAACACAAAGGGTGTATTCGCTCATGAACCTTATCTGGGCCTATTGTTGCCTTGTAAAAATCTGGATTTTGCTTCCAAAGAAGCCCCCGGAAATAGATATTGAGACTAATCAGAGTCTAGGTCACATCTTCCCAAACTAGAGTATTAATCTCAAAATGAGTAATAGACCTCTTCACAGTCTGTCCCTTCTCTGTGATCCTGACATTGGACTAAGAATCCACAGCTCTGGATTCTGCTGCTGCCTTAACCTCTGATACTTCTTGACCATTTATTTAAGATCTTCGTGGCTCGGTTTCCTTTATTCTGCTTTCTAAATTTGATGAGACAGAATTAGTAAATAGAAAAGTGCTATGAACCCATTGGTGTGAATAAGGATTCATAAGTTAGATAATAATAGTTACAAAGACAGTGTCACATCAGGGCTTGCTTAAAAATCCCCGATCCAATCTATTTAAGAAGTCATCCTCTTGATTTATATTCTGCTACTTTCCACTTGGGTAAATTCATCTTTTGCAAATTGTTAAGTTATTAAACCCTAATAATTCTACATTAATGTATCTTTCTCTTTACAGAGAAAGTGGATGGAGAGACACAGATAACAGTTGACAAAGGTAGGCTAGATTTTTGGCATCAAAATACTCCTTCCTACTCGAGTTTTAAAAAAATTTATTTGAAGCCAATTTTGGAGATGAATTACATTCTGTTTTGGATTGCAGTCAATGAGAACAGAATAGAGAATCTTTTGAGGACAGATTTCAAGGGTTTTGTATTTGTTTTTGGTTTTTTTTTTTCAGAGAAAAGGGAATTCCCTGTATTTGAAAATAAGCAAATCCCAGATGAGACCATTCCCTTCATGACAGATATGGGGAATGGTATCACAGCGTAGTTTATTGTTACTAAGAATGAAAATAGGGGCCAATTTAATAGCCCGATGCAAACACTACCCCAAAATTAACAGTGAAGGCGATATGAGCGTTAAGTTGATAGATCCTCTGAAATCTTCCTGTTAGTAAAATAGGATTAGATTAGCCCACCTTCTTCCTTTTGGAAGAAATACTCTGTGCTCAACCAACGTGAGCATTATTTGCTATGTACAGTAGGGCAGCAGCTTTATTTATATATTACATATTTTATTACTGGCATATTTTTTATCTGGGACTCACGCTTTTTTCCCCCCTCTCTCATTCAGATGGTTTGGCAACAGTGACCCTGGTTGGAATTATAGTTGGAGTCTTACTAGCCATTGGCTTCATTGGTGGAATCATCGTGGTGGTTATGCGAAAAATGTCGGGAAGGTATTCGTAAGTAAATAACTTAAGCCCATGTGATAGATACATGAAGGCTATCATGTCTCGAGCTCAAACTTTTGAACTAATGGAAATTTCTAATATTAGCTGGGTGTGGCGGCTCGTGCCTGTAGTCTCAGCCACTGGGCAACGTATAGACCAGCCAGGGCAACATAGTAAGACCCTGTCTCAAAAAAATGATCTTTTGTATAATGGTCATGTTCAAAAGTTCCTTACTTGGTGCTCTGAGTGCAGTGGCTCACACCTGGAATCCCCGTGCTTTGAGAGGTTGAGGCAGGAGGATCACTTGTGCCCAGGAGTTTGATGCTAGGGTGAGCTATGATTGTGTCACTGCACTCCAGCCTGGGTGACAGAGCAAGACTCTGTCTCTTAAAAATAAGAAAAAGCAGCTGGGCACGGTGGCTCATGCCTGTGTAATCTCAGCACTTTGGGAGGCTGAGGTGGGCAGATCACAAGGTCAGAAGATCGAGATCATCCCAGCTAACACGGTGAAACCCCGTCTCTACCAAAAATATAAAAATTAGCCAGGCGTGGTGGTGGGCGCCTGTAGTCCCAGCTACTTGGGAGGCTAAGGTAGGAGAATCACTTGAACCAGGGAGGCAGAGGTTGCAGTGAGCTGAGATTGCACCATTGCATTCTAGCCTGATGACAGAGCGAACCTCTGTCTCTTTAAAAAAAAAAAAAAAAAAAATCCTCTTAATTTTCAAAAGGAATACATCTGAAGATTTCCCCAGAAGAACAAATCTCTACTTAGGTCTTATAAATTTCCAAAAGAAGAGAGTCAGAGCCAGAGATGGCTTGTAAGTTGACTTCTGTTGAGATCTGACCACATTTGATCTCGTCTTAATTTACCAACTAACTGAACTTGGAAGAAAACCCAAACCAAGTTTTAACATGATACCTAATCAGCCTGCCGTCAACCATCAGAGATAGGTGGCTTCCAGAAAACCATCTGTCACAGAGCTAGCAGCCCTTTCTGACAAGGAGTTCCACTGAGGATGGGGTCTTTTTCTTTTCTTTTTTCATTTTTATTTTTGAGACAGAGTTTTACTCTTGTTGCCCAGACTGGAGTGCAATGGCACCATCTCAGCTCACTGCAACCTTTGCCTCCCGGGTTAAAGCGATTCTCCTGCCTCAGCCTCCCAAGTAGCTGGGATCACAGGCATGTGCCACCACTCCCGGCTAATTTTGTAATTTTAGTAGAGACGGGCTTGCTCCATGTCGGTCAGGCTGGTCTCGAACTCCACCTGCCTTGGCCTCCCAAAGTGCTGGGATTACAGGTGTGAGCCACTGCACCCGGACGGATGGGGTCTTTTTCATTGAGATTTCTCACTCTTGTCCCACATGCACCCACACACATGGTCACAGACTCCTACCTTTGACTACTGATGAAGGGAAGGAGTTTTTTCTCCTTATTAAAATTCCTTAAGAATTCAGAATATCTACACTCGTGGCTAGAGAAAACCTTTTTCTTGTATGTGTTGGGGGGATGATATATGATGGAGCGGTGGGGAGAGGACAAATAATACACACATGGAAGGCTGAGAGATACAGTTGATAACACGGCTGTGGACTTAGCATGTTTGGAAAAGCCAGGGAGCCTGACCCTTCTATGTCAGGATGAAGGCATGGAGGAGGGATATCGGGGACCAGAGGTGATCACCAGGTGTCAGAACTTGGAAGACTTTAGACCAAAGGACAAGAGGAACAAGGACTCACAGGGTTACTATTCACAATGCCAGTAAGAGACATGACAGCCACCTTTCTCTTTATTTTCACAGGCCCTAAAGAGCTAAAGGGTTATGCCCTGCTGCCAACACACTGAAAAAAGACCTTTCTGTTCCTCTGCGCCCTGTCCCTGAGCTTGTGGGAGAAGATGATCCGTGGAACACTTGCCCACCCCATTCAGAATCCGTGGTGATCTCTCTGCTTGCCAAAGTAACTGAAGGAAAGGCGGTTCACCAGGCCTGGCTCCTCTAAATATTTGCCTTTCAAACATGTTTTCGAATCTACATTCTATAAAAGATGATTCGAAAGACAAGATTCATAGAAAATGGAGCAAAACTGTATAAACTGCTTTGTAAAAAGACTGGACCATTGGATCGATGTGTCTCCGTCTGACCGTTCTCTGTTATTGTTCAAATGCAAAAGGATCTGGAAATATTTATAACCACGGAGTCCTTGGATCCAGTACCATGTCAGTAAATAGCACCAGCCTTTTGCAATTGCTGATCTGTTGAAATGTATACATTCCGGTTTAGTTTGGTCTGTCTTTTAAAGCCTGATATGTATACCACATAATCAAGTAGAAAATCTCAACTTGGATAACGCGCGATAAGCGACTGTCTTTAGCTGGTCCAGATTAATCATTTCAAAGACATCGTCTTAGAACGCAAGCAGGAAGTCTGTAGTCTCGAAGGCACTTGTTTCTCCCAAGTAGGCCACAGGCAGCCTCTAGACTTAGCTTTACCCAAATCCTTCTCCAGCCATGACTTGGTGACTCCCAGACTTGCCCCCTCCACTTCCCTCAGATGATGGGGAGCTGGGGTGAAGCGGGCAGCCTTCCTTCCTCCCAGTGATGCATATCCTTCGGATTGGCTGCTTCGTTCCAGGATGTGGATATCTCAGCCTGGACACTGAGGAAGCTGCTGGATGTTTAATGGTGCTAGAGGCTCAAGCGTTTTCGAAACCAAGAGCCCCCGTGCAGAACAAAATCCTATGTGAGCCTCTGGTATGAGAAATAAAACCTGCCACATTACATTCGCTTTCTGCCTCAGAGGAAAGATACAGGGAACAAAAATCATTTTCTACAATCTTAATTTTAAAAGCAGCTGGACGTAAATATCTGATTTTAAAAATAGAAGGTATCTCTAGTCTTCATGACACACCGCAAATACCTGTGGGATCCTATTGAAAAGAACAAAATAAAGGATCTCAAGGGATCGTTCTGTCTCCACGCCATCCAGCCTGGCACTTCTCTTCCCATATAGCCATTGGATTTTTTTTTTTTTCTAAACAAAGTTTTTTTTTTTTTTGAGACGGAGTTTCGCTCTTGTTACCCAGGCTGGAGTGCAATGGCACGATCTCGGCTCACCGCAACCTCCGCCCCCTGGGTTCAGGCAATTCTCCTGCCTCAGCCTCCTGAGTAGCTGGGATTACAGGCACGCACCACCATGCCCAGCTAATTTTTTGTATTTTTAGTAGAGACGGGGTTTCACCATGTTGACCAGGATGGTCTCGATCTGTTGACCTCGTGATCCACCCGCCTTGGCCTCCCAAAGTGCTGGGATTACAGGCGTGAGCCACCGTGCCCGGCCTAAACAAAGTTTTTATATTGAGCAGATGCTCTGTCATGATTTCAATTGTGCAATTCTGATATCCTGTAAACTTGTAAGCATTCATAAAACAGGAAAAAGTAAACTATCAGTCGGAAGCACAGCCCATTCCTCCTATTTTTCGCAATAACGTGTGGATGTTATTTTAAACAGTGTGTCTGTGTGTTCCCAAATGCAGCTGGTCCCACTGGCTCCGATTCCGTATTTGAACATCAGCTGATTGAGAGAAGGGGAATGAGAAGAGCTGGATGAGTTTAAATAACTTTGTTTTATTGTTCAGATTCCTGAACAGGAGATGGGATAAGGCCCATCTCCTTGCCCATCCTTTCTTCCCCCCTCACTGTGAAAAATAACAGTTCACCCCCAAGTCATACACTGGACCCAGGGTCTGCGGGGACAGGACTGTGGGTTTTTTGGTCACACCTGTGTTGGTGCTCAATGCAGTGTGGACCTGTTTTCAAATAAAACACAATTGTGTACAACAATGAGTCAGACCTTTGTTGAAGTCTGGGCCACACTTGGGAACATCTCCAGATAAGTTTACAACTTAGGTAAAGAATTCCACAGGGAGAAAATGCACCTACACCTTTCAGGTAGGTCTGCCAAAGTAGAGAGGTTAAGCGGAAGCACGGGCTGGGGAGACACGTGGCACATGGGGCTTTCACCCACTCTGGTCCCAAAGTGTTAATGAGGTTTTGTTTGATTCTTAATTTCTCAGCCCTGGAGAGGAAAACCAGGTGTGGGAGCAGCTTCAGCTTGCTTCTGCCAGTCCTACCTAGAAATCTCACCTCAGGAGAGGTGAATTCCTGTTGTTGGGATGCCCTACGGCTCCTGGCTCACCCTGACCCTGTCTGGAGATTGTCTTGCCTGCTGCTGGGTGGGTGCTGCTGATCTGCTCCTCCCGACCTCGCCTCACTGCTCCATGCATATTTCATCCTCCTGATGCCGGTCTGGTTCCTGCCAACTCTATCCCTACTTGGAAGGGTTGGGTGCTAGGAGCGAGAGATCAGTTAGCCCCATGATTTCCTCAAAATACACACTCACTTTTGTTAAATCAAGATTGTTGAATTTGGACTGGGCGCAGTGGCTCACGCCTGTAATCCCAGCACTTTGGGAGGCTGAGGCAGGTGGATCACCTGAGGTTGGGAGTTTGAGACCAGCCTGACCAGCATGACCCTGTGTCTACTAAAAATACAAAGTTAGCCAGGCATAGTGGCACATGCGTGTAATCCCAGCTACTCGGGAGGCTGAGACAGGAGAATTGCTTGAACCCTGGAGGCCGAGGTTGCGGTGAGTCGAAATTGTGCCATTGCACTCCAGCCCAGGCGACAAGAGCAAAACTCCATCTCAAAAAAAAAAGGGGGGGGGATTGTTGAATTTGTCCCATTGTCAGAAATCCTGGGTGCTCATTTGAGTTCCAAGCAAGGAACAACATTTTATGCTTGTAGTCCCAGCTATTCAGGAGGCTGAGGTGGGAGGATCGTTTGAGCCCAGGAGTTCAAGACCATCCTGGGAGACAAAGGGTTCCAATCTCATTCTGCTACTCTACACCTGTAACCCTTCAGACAAGTCATTTAACTTCTTCGGGCTGCAGTTTTTTCCAAGAAATTCCATGAGATTGTCAGAAAGCATCCCTTTTCTAGCAGAAAACTGTGTCTACCTAGTCCAACAGATTGAAAGAGAATGGACCCTCAACTATGTTACATGTAAACATACATTCTATTACAGGCCACCCCCAGGAGACGACTAGCAACTGGTGGAGCTGCCAAGGTCCTGGAAGTTTAGGGAAACAACTCCATCAAAGGTGTCTGGGAGCAGGTGGGGCTGAAGTTAGACCTTTGCATGATATAAAGGCCTTGTGTTTAACCCCTATTTTTCCCCTTTCACCCTGGAGAACCAGTGGAAAACCAGAGCATAGTTCTGCTTCATGTGCCACCTTCAAGGCTCGGCTTTCCTGAACAGCAAAGAGCAAAGAACTGTTAATCCCTAGTTGTCTCTATTTTAATTCAGATTTATTTAGTATTCAGGGCATGGGGCAGTTTGTGACCTTCAATTGGGGAATGATGCATATTCTGATATTAAAACTTGCTGGCAGGGCACGGCGGCTCGCATCTTTAACACATACACTAAAAATAGAGTTGTCTCTTGCATTTTCTGAAGCTTAGAATCTTGTTAGAACATAATCGATCCTGGGTTTTTCGATTCAGTTAATATAAATGATGTGTGATTATTGGTCAACAATGCAGAATGAATCACACCCACTGGTGTGAATGGGAGTTCTTTGGCCCAAGGGCCCAGCATACAGATACCTGGTACAGGCGGAGCCAGCTCGAAAGCACTGAACATGATTCCTCAGCACTTTTTCTTACCCTGAGATTGTTTCATCAGATGCTGACTCAAAGCGCGGTGTGTTCTATTTCTGCATCCGATGGCTTGGGGCCATAGTACAGACAGTCCTATGCGTGGTTCTGAGACCTTGTTCCTTCCAGTTTTTCTTTCCTACCTCCTCCTCTACTGCTGCCTCTGCCTTTCCACTGATACAGGTCTTTGAGAAAATAATCACGTGCCAGCCACATACGGGCTGATCAGCAAATGTTTCTGAAGTGACGGCTTCCCTCTGGATGCTGCTGAAGTAGTCAAAGAGGCTGTCTGAATATGTGCTTGCATAAAAGCACTTTCAGTGCTCCACATGTAACCTCAGGAAGGTGTGCACATGTCCTGACCGAAGGAGGAGGTGGACCTTTTTGCTTCTGTTCCCACCCGTCCCCAGAGCATCTGTAGGTGAAAAGGCTGGATCTGTGGATGGTCCAAGGCACACTGGAAACCGGGTACATGGTATGGATGCCTGGCCAGCCAGATCCAGAAAAAGAAGACACTCCCTTAGGTGTAACCGCTGAAGAACTCTCATGCGATAGGAGTAATCTGTTCATTTATTTATTCATTCAAACATTTATGTTCAGGCCTGTCCTGGGTGCTGGGAGTCCATAGTGAGTGAAACTGACATAAATTCCTGCCCACATAGAGCTTACATTCTTATGCTGGAGACAGACTACAAAATAAAAGTAAATAATAGAGTGTGAAAATGAGAGACCATGGAGAAAAGCACAGCAGGGAGAGGAAGTTCAAGTTTGGAGGAGCTCCAGCATGGAGGCTGAGGTGGGAGAAGGTCTCCCTGAGAGTCACGCCATGTTCCTGAAGCGGCAGGGCAAGGAGCAATCCTGATGGGTACTTGAGGGAAAAGTGTTCTTGCCAAAAGGCACAGCAAAGGCATGAGGCAGGGCACCGTTGGCATGTTTTAGAATATACAGGGAAACTCAGAAGGCTGGAGCAGTCAGCCCAGGGGCCTGTGGTAGGAGATGAAGTCAGAGAGGTGGAGCCCCCTTGGAAATGGGGAGCCATGGGAAGGTTTTGAACAGAGGAGTGACATGATCTGACTTTTTTTTTTTTTGAGACGGGGTCTTGCCCTTGTTGCCCAGGCTGGAGTGCTATGGCATGATCTCGGCTCACCGCAACCTCTGCCTCCCAGGTTCAAGCAATTCTCCTTCCTCAGCAGAGGTTACAGGCATATGCCATGACTCCCAGTTGATTTTTTTTTTTTTTTAATTTAGGAGAGATCAGGTTTCTTCATGTTGGTCAGGCTGGTCTTGAACTCTTGACCTCAGGTGATCCGCCTACCTTGGCCTACCAAAGTGCTGGGATTATAGGCATGAGCCAGTGTGCCTGGCCCCTGACTTACCTTAAAAAACAAAAAAATCCTCACTTCTGGTTGGGAACTGGCCAGTGCGAGAATGCAAGCAAGAGATGATGGAGGTTCAAACCAGGATGATAGCAGTGGATGTGGTGTAAGGTGGTCTGGTTTTAGTGATACTTTGAGTGAAGTCAATAGAATTATCTGATAGATTGGTTGTTGGATATGAGAAAAATGGGAGGGTCAAGATGACAACAAGGATTTTGACTTGAGCCACTGGGATAATGGAGTTGCCATCAGTTAATAGGGCAAGGCTGTGGATGCTGCAGGCTTGAGGCAGTGCTGGAGTTGTGTGTGGAACATGCAGAGTTTGAGCTGTGTGCAGATATCCATCTCGAGGCATGAAGCAGGCAGGTGGGCACGTGAGTACAGAGCTTAAATGAGATGACTGGAGACAATTTGGAAGTTGCTAGAACCTAACCACCGTGATGCTGATGAGCTCACCATGGCCATAAGTATAAATAGGAAAAGGCAAGTCCAAGACCTCAGCTCTGGTGTACCTCAAGGTTAAGAGCCAGGGATATGCAGAAAGATCACCAAGGGAGTCCTTCACCATGGACTGGATGAAATGCATTTCAGGAGTAGCCATTCCTGTTCTCTTCCATCTAACAGGCTTCTGATTAATAATCCAGCTCCCTAAGTAGCTTAATACTGGAACGAGGGTGCCCTGGATAATGGGCACAAATATTCCCACCACTGGAAAAGAATATTATAGTCGAAAATTACTAACTTGGCATTTGGGATTATAATCAGTTTCTCATGAGTTGATTGACATGAGTTAGGTCCTAGGACCTGCTCAACCCTGGAGACTGTTGTGCAATTCGGATTTTAAAACCATAAATCTGCAGGCCTGAATGATGACCATATCAAAATACTCCTGCGTGTGGAGCATCCAACTCTTTCCTAGACAGCACTCCCATTGTAAATCCCCACCATAATGGTTCCTAAGTGACCTCTCAGTTTAGCATCCATCCGCTGGACTGAATTTCTCTGATCAAGCTTCCAAATGACCTCCTGTTTGTCAGTTCCAGGGCCTCTTTTGGTCTTGTCTTCGTTCACCCTCTGCAGCCATCAGCCCTGTTTTGGTCCCCTTCTTGAAGCCATCTGCTCTCGCTTGGTTGCATGACATGTTCCCATACTGGTTGCCCTTCCTGGTTCTCTGCAAGCTGCCCCACTGGCTCCTGTCTTCACTTCCCCCTCTTTGCTCACAGGCATGCTTCAGGCTTCCTTTTCGCTTCTCGATGGTCTCTCGCTTGGAGAGTTCATCCACCCTTACAGCTTCAGATGGCATAAGCTCCAGAGGAGCAGGCATCTGTTTGGTTCTCAGCTATGTCCTTAGCCCCTGCAGCAGTAACTGGCACATAACAAGTGAACAGTGCCTCCCCCTTCACATGTACACCAGTGGCCGGCTAATTCAGATCCTCAAGCAAAATCTCATCACAATTGCAAACTTAGGTGCCCACATCATCTCCAGTCTGATCTGCAATCTATCAATGGGATCTTCCTAAAATGTACTTTTTTTTTTTTTTTTTTTGAGACAGAGTCTCTCTTTGTCAGCAGGCTGGAATGCAGTGACACGATCTTGGCTCACTGCAACCTCCACTTCCCAGGTTCAAGTGATTCTCCTGCCTCAGCCTCCCGAGTAGCTGGAACTACAGGTGTGTGCCATCATACTTCGATAATTTTTGCATTTTTAGTAGAGATGGGGTTTCACCATGTTGATCAGGATGGTCTTGA